GTCTCGCGCTGTGCCTTCGGCCCCTCTAGACTCCGGCTCTCTCAGCGGGTCTGGCTGGTGTCTCCGTGCGTCCCGCTCCCGTCTGTGCCCCCGGGCTCTGGGGCACCGTTCCCCGCCCGCCCCTCCCCCACGCCGTCCCTGCCTTCCGGCCCGTCTCCCCCGCGGAGTTTCCACCCGGCCCTGCACGGCCCCCTCTGCCCTGGCCAGGCCCTTCTCCCGCTTCCCTTCGCCGTCCCCTCAGCCTCCCACCTCTCAGACCACCCGGCCGGCCTCCCTTGCTCCCTTCCTGTGGCTGACCGGCCCCTGGCCTACCCTCCCCGGGGTCCCAGACGGCTCTCACAGAGGCTCCAGGTCCCACGAAAGGGGAGGGATGGCCCCCTTCGTCGTGAGGTCCAGACACCCTTCATGGGCCGGGGAGCTGCTGGGGCGGGGAGGGGGTGCAGCCCCCACCCCGCCGATCCTTTCCTGCGTCTCTTCTAGGTACTCCCCGGACTCTACCTCGGAAACTTCATTGGTGAGCTCTACCCACTCTGTCCCAAAGCTGTGGCACTCCGCCTGTCCCGGCCGGGGTCCACCATTCTTGCCCTGGCCCAGCAACTCAGACGCAGCTCAGGAAGGCGGCAGGGAGGCGACACCAGGCTGGGAGGGGGCAAGGGCTCTCCAAGGCCTCGGGGCGCACGCGTGGGGGCGTCCCCCCGGGTCTGAAGGCATGGAGGGAGCAGCAGGGGTCTGACAATGACGTCCCCCACGTTCAGCTGCCCACCAATTCTGCCACGTGGTCAGAGAGACAGCACAAAGGGCTCAGGACCTGAGCTGTGGATGTGGGCAACTCTCTGCGTGCCCTGAGCCTGTCTCCTCCTTAGCACAGAAGGCCCCTAGCCTCCAAGGACACCTCTGGCCCCAAGATTATGGGTTGTGGTCTATTGGGGGGCGCTGCTTCTAACTGAGAAGCTGGGAACTCTTCTTCCCATGACCTTCTCCTCCTCGGAAGAGAGGCCTCTGGAGACTGGGGCTGGGCCCTCTTCTAAGCAGGGTCCTAAGCACCAACCCCATGACCACCAGACCCCTTGAGCAGCAGGAGGGCCTGGTACTGAGGGCTGGCAAGCCCACAAGCTTCCGTTCCTGTTCTCATCCATCCCTTCCACAAAAGGGAGGGCACAGATGGCATGGACTCCCATTCTTGCCCTCGAGGGCTTCCAGACTGGTAGCGGGAGATAGAGCTGAACACAGACTTTTGGCTGTGGGCAGAAAACATGCTAAGAGATAGGTGGGTCCTGGGCTTAGGGGACCCAAGGAAGGAAAGGTACTTCCATCTTCACAGTGGGAGAAAGCTTCAGAGAGGGAGGAGCCTAGGCCTCTACCCTCCTAAGCCCTGGTCCCTTCCTTCCCAGGAGCTACCTCTGCTACTCATGCCACATCAGTTTCTTCATTTGGCCAAGTCACATCTGAGTCCTCTTTTATGACTGTAGGCTCCACGGGGGCAGGAGCCACGAAGCTGACCCCAGACCCCAGGGCCCAGCCAAAGGCTGCACTTAGTGCACATAGTAGGCACTTAGGAAATCTTTGTGGAATGAGGAAATTGACATATGGGGTAGGGGGTGTGTGTAATTTCTTCCCGTTATGAAAGGTCTCATGCACCGTGTCCAGCCCTTGGAGAGGGCCACTGAGAGCAGTGTCACAAATGTCCCTAGGTCATTCTTCAGATATCTTTGTAGGCACAGAATATTTAACACCAAAGTTGGAAGCCTATTCCACATACTGTTCTGGAAGCTGTGTTTCCCACTTAGAAATACGCCGTGGCATCCCTGCACAGAGCTCTGTTTAGTGGCTGCACAATGCGTCAAAGTGCGGGTCCACCATACTAGCCAGTCCCTTTTTGATGAACACAAGTTATTCCCAGTTTTTACCTAATTCTGATATCAGCAGTACTTACAGACCGTCATCCTCTGCGCACAGCAAATGCCTCTGGAGACAGGATTCCTGGAAGGAGAACTGTGGGTCACAGGATATGCCAGAGAAGGGTGTTTGGGATGGAAAGTACAGCATGAGCAAGGGGGTGGAGACGCCGGGCTGTGACTTGTGGGTGACCCAGAAGCCAGAGGAGCAGGAGCTGGCAGAGGGGGGCCCAGGTGGAGTGGGAGGGGTGAGAAGGAAAGCTGGGCAGGCAGTGTGCTTCCTCCACACTTGGCCATCAGGAACAGTTAAGTCGCACCTGCCAGATTGGCTCAAGTATCCTGTTTCTTTCAGATGCCAAAGACCCGGATCAGCTGGGCCGGAATAAGATCACACACATCATCTCTATCCATGAGTCACCCCAGCCTCTGCTGCAGGTATCCCTTACCATTCCAGAGCTGTGCAGAGGTCGAGGGGAGGGGACTGCAGACCCTCTTCTCAAGTATCTACTGTGCTACCTTCTTGACCCGTGCTGACTCATTTGGTCTTCACCACTGGCCCCGAGAGGCCAATTAACTCACCTAGGGTTACACATCCAGGAAGCTGAGGAGCAGGGATTTGAACACAGGCCATCGGGTGCCATAGAGCTCACAGTGAACCCCAGAAAGGCCCCACAGGGGCTTTCCCACTGCCCAACTGGGTGGCTGGTTTAAAACCGATGACTCTGGCCTCTGTGTCTTGCTGGGCAGCCTTGGGCTGTGGCTTTGGCCTCCCTGGACCTTTGATTCCCCAGCCCTGTCTGCCCCCCGACCCCCGGGGCTGTTGTTGCAATGTTGTTAGGGACTGCAGGATGGTGAAGATGCTTTGCACACTGTAGAGCATGGTCCACAACAGAGGAGTTAGTGCTGGTATTATCAAGTCCCAGGAAAGGGGCATGAGGGAGTTAGGACACAGAGGAGGAAAGCAGGAAACCCAAACCACATGTGCTGACGTCAGGAGACCCAAGATCATGTCTCCAACATTTATTCACCCCTCTGAGCCTCAGTAGTCCGATCTGTAAAATGGGAGTTTTTATAACAGTACCCACCTCACTGAGTTGTTGAGGGCCACATAATAGGTGCTCAACAAATTACAGCTGATATCATTACAAAGTTAATATTCTTAACCCATAAATAGAGCCCTTTCCTCCATATCTGTTAGAGTCCATGGCATCCACTGCAGAGACAGAGCTGTGAGTGGGAAAAAGTTCTAGAGATCTGAGGCTGAGACCAGGTTGTGCCACAGACTTGCTGTGTGACTTTGGGCAGGATCCTCTCCCTCTCTAGGCCTCAGCTTTCCCATGAGCCAGATTTGATGGTTTTAAAGGCAGTGATCAATAACCTATGATTTTCAGTGTCATTCAAGGAAGAAATGTCCAGGCCACTGGAATCTAATTTTGCAGTAAGGGGCAGGCCTGTTGAAGTATTTGGAGTAAGCAGTCACTCGAGCACACGGGAAGGTTGTCAAGTGGCGAGTGTGCTCACTGATGAAATGACGGCATGCGCAAAGAGTGCCTCCTTCAGCTGCCCCGCCCACTTTCCAAAGCTCCCCCCCTCCATCAGCGAATTCACCACTCAGGTTTGATAATACCATGCAAACCCAAGGCCTGATATGTCACCAAGTGAAATTACAAACCATGCAGACGGTGTAGGGTGTCATGACCTTGGGGAATGTGAGTGAGAGAAAGGCTGAAATTTCACTCAAAGCCACAACAAATGAGGACCCTCAGACGCGAGCACAGATCATTGCCTGATATTGTGCAGAGGCTCAGCAAGGAACAAGAATGTCTCAGCAAGTTTGCTGGAAAAAGCACTGACAATTTATTCCCCGGTTATCCTAACAGCACATCATTATAACCACAAGTCATGAAACTTAAAGTGTTTTTATGACTTTTTTTTCCAAGTGAAAACTGATATGCCCTTTTTCCCATGTGACTTTGTCATTCCCACCTGGAGGAAAGTCACTGTGAGTTGCCCTTGCCCCAGCTATTTCGATTAAAGGTCCCTGGGTCCCTTTTTTTTTTTTTTTTTTTTTGAGGGGTCTCACTCTGTCGCCCAGGCTGGAGGGGAGTGACACGCTCACAGCCACTGCAGCCTCAATCTGCTGGGCTCAGACGATCCTTCCACCTCAGCTTTCCAAGTAGCTGGAACTACAGGCATGAGCCACCACACCCAGCTAATTTTTTGATTTACTGTAGCGCCAAGGACTCGCCAAGTTGCCCGGGCTGGTCTCGAAGTCCTGGGCTCAGGCAATCTTCTTGTTTCCACCTCCCAAAGTGCTGGGATTACAGGCATAAACCACCATGCCCGGCTAGTTCCTGGGTCCTGTTTAACAAGTCCTTGCGCCCACATCATCTGTGGGGTTAGGACATGCCATCTACTCAGAAGGTTCCGAAATCACAGACGGTCAGAGCTGGGAGCCCTCAGAAATGGTGTTGACTTTCTTTGGACAGCTAGGACAACAGTGGGGACACACACTGCTCGGCCTCTCAGGCCAGGGGGAGGGGGGCTGCAGTAGGGATCCCTCTGAGTGTGCTTTGTACTTGCAGGATATCACGTACCTCCGCATCCCGGTGGCTGATGCCCCTGAGGTACCCATGTAAGTGCCCCTGGATAGTCTGACTGATGGACAGACAGCTGCCTCCTCTGGTGGGTGGGAGGGCAGTTCTGAGGACTCAGGCCAGAAGGCTGTCACGAGTGGCCACCCAGGCCCAGGTCTGACTCCATGTCAACCGTGCCCCGTGGTATGCCCCTGACCAAGACTCCCAACCTCCCTGCACCAAGGTCTCCTCAGCTCTGAAGCAGAGAAAGTGCCCTTGAGATCAGACGCCCCAGCAGATTTGAAAGGGTCAGGCTTAGTCTGTTCCTGGCCTTGAAGTTAAGACATCTGGGATTCAGCCAGGCTTTGCCATTGACTTACTGTGTGACCTTAAGCAAGTTGTTTCCCCTCTCTGAGCCTCTCCTGTCAAAGAGGAGTGTGCGATCAGAGTTGAGGGAGCTTTCAAAGAGCCGCTGACACGTGTTGAGGATCTATGATAGGGCCTGGGGTACAACAGGGACTCAGAAAATGGGTTTTTTGCTTGTGCTCTGAGCAGCAGTGCCTCCCAGCTTGGGATGGACCCAGCAGACACTCCTGTCCCTGGGAACCTTGCTCTCAGCCCGCGGTTGACCCTCATTGTTCCCAGGTGCTCTGGCTGCAGATCCCAGAGGAGTGAGACCCCCGTGTCTCCTCTCACCCATTTCCTAGAAAGGCCAAAATAAACCCACCATGAAAACAGGATCCCCAGGAGGGGAGCTCCTGCCTGGATGGCAGGACGTGCCAGTCCCGGCCCCCCTCACTGCCTGAAGTGTCACCACTACCACCTCACACGCCCCCACCTCATGCGACAGTGGACCACTCACTGCCCTACTGGCTGACCTGAGGACCCCAAGGCCAGCCCCTAAATGGGGAGGGGATGCCACCTGCGAGACCTGCCCCAGGACTCCGACCCCATGCTTTCTTCTCCAGCAAAAAGCACTTCAAGGAATGTATCACCTTCATCCACTGCTGCCGCCTCAGTGGGGGGAACTGCCTTGTGCACTGGTGAGTTGAGAGGGGAATGGCCTGGGAGGAAGCGGCGTCCTCTGTCCTGAACACACACTCTCGTCCTAGGGGAAGGCAGAACCTGTCACAGTGCTTGACCACACGCCATCCATCTTGGAGAGGCCACACAGGCTCAAATCGGGGCTGGGTTCCTTGGCAGCTGGATGGCCACACCAAGTAGCTCTTTCCCCCTGAGACTCAGTTTCCTCATCTGCAAAGTGGGAAGAAAGTTGACCTGACAGGACTGTTGGGAGGGTAGATGAGGCCGTGCAGGTAGCCTGCCACCCTCCAGAAGTTCTCGCTACACTCTCGTCCCCTCCAGGCCTTTGGGAAGATGGTTCAGGGCAGTGGGGAACCCCAGGCTGGGAAACCAGACCCCCAGGTGTCCCTGGCCCAGTCAGTGTCATCACTCCCCAACTTCTTACTGAGCTCCAGTCCCATCCTGAGCAGGCTCAGGTTGACTCTGCCGAGCCCAGCGACAAGGCCTATCATCCTCTCGGGCCGTCTCCCTGTCTTCTTCCCACTCTCCGCGCTTCCTGCTGCACTAGCCTTCTGTGCCTTCTCCAGATCCACCAGGCTTCCCCCTCCACACTGCCCAGAACATTCCTGACTGACCCTTACCTATCTTTCAAGCTCAGCTTGATGTCGCTTCTTTGGGGACCCCTTTCCTAGTCCCGCCCCTACCCCACGAGATTAATTTATCTTCCCATATGAATCTCCTAGCCCTCAGACGCACCTTCAGAGCGATTATCACCGCCTGAAATGGCTTCTCTGGTCAGTGTCTGTCTGCCCCAGCCACACTGTTTTATTCCCACCATATCCCCAGTTCCTGAAAAAGACCAGATGATCCAGAAGTGTTGTTGAATGAATGATGTTTTCCCCAGACCTTTTTAATGTGGGGAATCCTCCAGTCAGAGGGAACAGCCTGGGCAAAGGCCTGGAGGTGGGAAGACAGGTCCTGGCAGGCTGGAGCTCGAGGCTGAGGGGGAGCGCTGAAGTGGGACACTGGATCTCACCTGAAGCCTCCGGGGTTGCTGGGGATCCCAGCTTTGCAGGCATCTCCCGCAGCACCACCATCGTGACGGCGTATGTGATGACCGTGACGGGGCTAGGCTGGCGGGACGTGCTTGAAGCCATCAAGGCCACCCGGCCCATCGCCAACCCCAACCCAGGCTTTAGGCAGCAGCTTGAAGAGTTTGGCTGGGGCAGTTCCCGGAAGGTAGGGATGGGGGCAGGGGCTGGGCAGGGACCAGGCCAGGCCGAGACAGACTCTTCTTCCCACTTGAACTGAGCCGTCAACTAGAAAGAATTTAGCCTCCGCTTCAGACCGAGCGGGAGATTTTTCTGGGGTCTCGAATTCGTGCTTCCTGAGCCAATCCAGCTTGTGGCTGTATTTTGTCTGGCAGTCAGTTTTTGTTTAGATGTGGAATGTGAGTGCCTTCAGACCAGCCTGTTTGCCCCGGCCCTCTGCACTCTGCATTGCCGTCTCCACCTGCCCCAAACCTGAAGGCATCTGCGTGTTCGACCCCTGTGGGGAGAACTGCCCCCAGACTCCACCCCGGGTCCCTGATGAGACCAAAGCGGTTCCTGGTCTCTTGGGCAGATGGCGCGTGGAAATGTCAGGAACGGAGGCCTCCCGGGAACAAGCGACGGGGAGGCCGGCTCTAGGAGGTGGCAGGGTTGTCCCCAGAGGCCTGTGTGCAGGCATGCACTAGGAGAGGCAGGCAAAGAGGAGGCCCCCGTGGGGGCGCCGTCGGCGCGACCGCGGATGTGAGCACAGGAGCGTGGGCGGAAGGGTGAGGCGGCCCGCGCTGAGCGGGGGTCGCCCCGTGGCAAACGGGAGGGGGCTTCGGGGAGAGGAAACGGCCTCCCCGCAGGCAAGGGGACCCAGCGAGGGGATGGAAACCGCGAGGAGAGGCAGGGAGGGCGGGGCTTCCGAGCCGTGCGCCGCTCGGGGGAGGCGGGGCCTCGGGCT